CAAATCAACATTGATTTCACGGTTGTACTGTTTCAACATTATTCTCATGGCTATACTATTTAAACATTGATCTCATGGCTATACTATTTAAACATTGATCTCATGGATGTACTACTCCAACATTATTCTTATTGTTGTACAATTTCAACATTATTCTTATTGTTGTACAATTTCCAACATTATTCTTATTGTTGTACAATTTCAACATTATTCTTATTGTTGTACAATTTCAACATTATTCTTACTGCTGTATTATTTTTAAATTATTGTTACAGCTGTAGTATTTCAATAATATTCTTAACGCTGTACTATTTCAACATCATTCTCACGATTGTATTATTTCAACATTATTATCCCGGCTGCACTATTTCAACATTATCCTCACATTTGTAGTATTTCAACGTCATTTTCCCCTTTGTACTATGTAAGCATTATTATCACGGCTGTGCAATTTCAACATTATTCTCACATCAAAAGTAATTCAACATTATTCTCATGACTGTACTATTTCAACACTATTCTAACTGTTGTACTATTTCAGCATTATTCTCACAGCTGCACTGTTTCAACATTATTCTCATGGTCGTACTATTTCAACATTATTCTCACGGCTGTAGTATTTTAACATTATTTTCACATCTGTAGTAGCTCTGCCTCACGGTTGTACTATTACAACATTATTCTCGTGGTTGTACTTTTTCAAGATTATTCTCACCATTATACTATTTCAACATTATTGTTAGAGCTTTAGTATTTAAAGATTATTTTCACGGTTATAGTATTTCAACGTTCTGCTCATGGCTTTACTTTTTCATCATTATTCTTACGACTGTGCTGTTTTAACAATATTCTCACGCTGTAATATTTCAACCTTGTTCTCACGATTGTATTGTTTCAACCAAATTCTCACCGTTGTACTATTTCAACATTAATCACACGGTTTTACTATTTCAGCATTATTGTCAAGGCTGCACTATTTCAATATTATCCTCACAATTGTATTACTTCAACGTTATTTTTCCCGTTGTACTATTTAAACATTATTATCACGACTTTACTATTGCAATATTATTCTCACGACTCTGATACTTTAACAAGATTCTCTCACGGCTTTAGTTTTCCAAAATTAATTTCACAGCTGTATTATTTCAACATTATTCTCACCATTGTACTATTTCAACATCACCCTTACAGATTTGGTGTTTTAACATCAATTATTTTCAAGGTTATAATATTTCAACATTATTTTCACGGTTATAGTATTTTAAGATTATTCTCACCGCTGTAATATTTCAACATTATCCTCATGTTTGTACTATTTCAACATTATTCTCATGGTTGTACTATTTCAACATTATTTTCACTGTTTTAGTATTTTAACATTATTCTCACCGCTGTAATATTTCAACATTATCTTCATGGTTGTGCTATTTCAAAATTATTCTCACCTCTGTACTGTTTCAATATTATTTGGACGGCTGTAGTGTTTAAACGTTACTCTTACTGCACTGCTGTTCTAACACTATCTGTTTCAACAACATTCTCTCGGCTGTAATATTTTTACATTATCCTCACATCTATAGTATTTCAACATTATTCTGACGGCTGTACTATTTCGACACTATTATCTCTGCTGTACTATGTTAATATTATTCTGACGGCTGTATTCTTTGGACATTTTTATAACGGCTGCACTATATCTACATTATTCTAATAGCTGTAGTATTTCAACATTAATATAAAGGCTGCAATATTTGAAGATTATTCTCACTGCTGTAGTGTTTCAACCATATTCTCATAGTTGTACTATTTTAACGTTATTTTTCTGTTGTGCTATTTAAACATTGTTATCACAGCTGCAATATTTCAACACTATTTTCACGGCTGTACTACTTCAATATTATTCTCATGACTGTACTATTTAAACATTATTCTTATCGCTGTAGTATTTCAACATTATTTTTACGACTGTACTATTTTAATATCACTCCCAGAGCTGTAGTATTTCAACATTGTTCTTAAGACTGTACAATTTTAACATTATTATCACGGCTGCATTATTTCAACGTTATTTTCGCGGCTGTATTGTTTCAACGTTATTCGCACTTTTTTCAATAATTTATTATTAAAATCATTTGAAGCTTTTATACTGTCAGCTATAGTTTATGTTTTAGTGGGACGCTCCTGAAGAAGCTGTAAAGCGAAACGTTGAGTGTCAAATTAAAGAAAAATAGCAAATTAGGTGTTATAAGGTCGTTTATTACTAGTAACAAAAACATTACTCTAGTTATACTAGTAGTTACTGAGACTGAGACTTGGTAGCCAAGTTTCTATAATATTAGGAATTTATTGTATCCTTTTTGTTCAATGTATTCCACATTTTTGTCTTTTCAGCAATAACTGACACCATTCAAACGTAAACTGTCTTATTTTCATCCAGATCTTTGCGTGTTTGTCCTTTCTTAAGATTAGTTGTTTGTCTGTTTTTGAATTTCTCGCAAAGCTCCACACGAGGACTATCTGCGCTAGCCGTCTCTAATTCTGCAGTGTAAGACTAGATGGAAGGCAGTTAGTCATCACCACTCACCGCCAACTCTTAGGCCACTCTTTTACCAACGAATAGTGGGATTGACCGTCACATTATAACGCCCCCACGGCTGAAAAGGCGAGCATGTTTGGTGGGACGGGGATTCGAACAAGCGACCCTCATATTGCGAGTCGAATGCCCTAACCACCTGGCCATGCCGGGCATTCTTAAGATTATCTAACATAAACATTAACGCCAAGCTTTTAAGAAGATTATATTTTCTAAATATGTTTAAAAAATAGTCATCGGTGGAATAGCTAATCCCAGGTCCTAATATTAGCTTATAATTTGTTTCCATTTTGTTATGCTGATGAATATAATGTAGCTATATATTTTGTGCTCAAGATTGATTTTGTACGGAAACAAGACTTCTATTTCTTGAAATGTTGATCTTGTTGTTTGCCCGTTAAACCAAAAACCCAACAGAGTTTTCTCTCAAGGGAAGTGATCAGAGAATTTTGGTTAAACTCTATTGTTTAGAACTCTAGTTAGCATTCGGAAAGCAGATGTTTACATACGGATAGACAACGACATCGATATTTTCCTCGGAACTTTTCGTTCGTTTAGCGGGGAAAAACAAGGCAAAAACGAGAGGTTTTTGAATGTGCCAATTATATAGTCACACCTTTCTAAGTTGGTAATATAGCAGAATGTATCATTTCACTCTTAGAAGCGTTTCTATGACCCAGAAATACTGTCATCTTTCTTAACACTCAAATTATCGACTTGTTTACATATCGTTAACTACTGACGGTCTCCATATTGGATCATATTGAGTGGTTTTGTTTATCATAATACTCAGTGTGGTTTGGTTTGTTTAGACTTTCCCGCAAAGCTACGTGAGGGCTATCTGCGCTAGCCGTCCCTAATTTAGCAGCCAAAGAATAGAAGGAACACAGCTAGTCATCTACTCTTTTACCAAGGAATAGTGGGATTGACCGTCACGTTATTACGCCCCCACGGCTGAAAGGGCGAGCATGTTTGGTGGGACGGGGATTTGAATCCACGATCTGCAGATTGCGAGTCTAGCGCCCTAACCATCTGGCCATGCAAAGCCCTTACTCAGTGTGAAAATAATTCCAAACAAGCTGGGTACATTTATTCATGTTTTTGTAAGTTACGTAGGAGATCCCAGTAGTAATTAATGCGATTAATTGCAATATTTATGGCATTTTTGTTCAAACTTTTGGTATGGCTCGTATCATACCGAAGACTCTGTGCACAAATATTTCAAAATAACGTGTTTAAGACTTATGGGGTTTATAACCCTTCATCAGTAATTCTAGGATTAAACATTTCATTAAGCGGCAAAGAAAGATGATCTCTTTTTAAGTCCCTTCAAATTACATTTCGGACTTTAAAACTAGGATTTCTCAGACTTACTAGGTCGAAGATGTTGCACCTTTCTGTTTCCACCCACCGTGTCAGTTTACCATTAGATAGTGAAAGAAATCCGTTTAAATTCTTGAAATACAATTACAAGAAACGTGCTTGATTGCCTATAAAAAAAATGGAAGGAAAGATGATGCCCCAGAAAGCTCTTTCGCGTGATGAAAGTAATTTGGAACCGCGTGAGCTTCAAATATTGACAGCCACACGTTTCTTCATTCCACGTGATGTTGAACTGCCTTCGAAGTTCAGTGTTGATGATGCGATTGTTATAACATGGTATTTTCAAGTTTTAACAATAATTTCATTTAATTCACTATAATTTAAAGCAATTTTTGTAAACAGTATAAAGACAATTTTGTTACTTTGAAAACTGAAAAATCTATAATGTCTGATGAGCCATAACTAAAGCTTTAGGCAGGTTTCAACTTATGTGATGCAATTAAAAGATTCGACAATGCTCTTCATACTTGACTCAACTTATGTGAGACATTTCTGTTCGTACTTGACTCAACATATTCGAGACGTTTTTGTTCGTACTTGACTCAATTTATTTGAGACGTTGATGTTCCTACTTGAATGAACTTTTTTAGGACGTTGCAGCTCAGAAATGACATATATACAGTCTTATCGTGTATTGGTTTGAGGATGTAACATAAAAATAGTTTTATTTAGTTACAGTATAAAACATACATAAAGTTTTATAACGTATTGATTTCAGGATTGAACATGCATACAGTTTTATAACATGTTTATTTCAGGATTGAACATATATACAATTTTATTTAGCATACGGATGAAAGACGTGTACTTTTATTTCGTGTTGCTCTCAGGATGGAACATATGTGCAGTTTTATCAGGATAATTTACATATAGAATTGTATCGTAAAAGGAATTGAACAGAAGTTTCAAAATGACTATGTAAAAAGAGAGAAATTTATTCAACATTTAAAGTTATGAAAAATCACGTTTATACTTATTTAGATTTCATAATTCAGGCTTCATATGGTACATTTTCTCACAGATTTGGCGTGAATACGACACAGATGGCAGCGGTTTTATTGAAGCCGATGAACTAAAGGTTTGTTTACGAATCTTTCTTCTAACAGTCTGACAAACAAATAAAAAGAAAAACTGGGAGTTTCAGTATAAGCATGTCTAACGGTCTGGATAGAAATAAGTAACAAATTAATATAGTTTATGTGCACCTAACACTAACACGTTTTTAACTGTTTCAAGTAAATACGCATTAGATTGCTTATTAAAAAACTTTAAAAAGTCCTGCAAAAAAATCAATTTCATCAGATATTAAGAAAATCAGCTATTGTTAAGTGAGTACAGAGATAGATAAAATACACTAAATAACAGGTATTAGGAGATGGTCAATATGACAAGAATAAATTATTCGAACCGGTAGTATTTCATCATATATCTATGAATTCCAGAGAAGACATTAAATCACTAATTAGTTAAACAATTTTTGAAGTATTCATTTTGTTTTACTCTATGTTTATTATATTTTATCCTTTAACGAATTTAATCAACTTATCTAAATGCAAAAGACATTATATTTTTTTATATTATAATCATGCTTTATTTAAAAATACTGTTGTTTAAAAACACACCAATGACGAGTTTTACTTTAACTCGCTTTTAATACCAGTGTATTTTTAAGTAGCGTTATTATTATGATTGTAGTAAATATGAAAATTTTTGTATAATACTATAGGATTATGAATTTATCCAGTTCCTACGATTTTAGTCAATATATAATGTTTTGTACACTACTGTAAATTAATAATGATTTCACCAGTTTCTCGGTTCAAGATGTTAATTTTTTGTACACTAATATTGAATAGTAATTTTGCCCAGTTCCTCAGGTTTTTAGTTAACATGTGAATTGTTGTATACTATTGCAGAATTTTTTGAAAGATTTACTAAAGGAAGCCAAAAAGCAGGGATATCAGTCAATAGATGAAGATAAACTAATCGAATATACTGATACTTTGGTGAGTATAAATAAATGTCAGTTGTTACATATTACAATTTCGAATGGTCTGAAACCGAGTTAAATGATAATTTAAATTTAGTAGTTAAATATGCCAGTATATTTCCAAGTTATGATATTTGCCAATAAGATTGATACACACAGTTTTCTTTTTTGATACAAATATGTTTTCAAATATAACCAACGCGACACGCCTAAAAAGAGTATCTATTATTGGTTTGCTATAGTTGGTGTGCTATAAACCTCAGAAGCTATAACTGTGTTTGTTATAACGCTAATTAATCGGGAAACCAGGAACGTTTATAAATTTTGAGCATTACAAACCATTTAACTTCAGTGGATTCACATCGGACATTAGTACTTTTGCGAAAACATTACCTAACGTCATCTGTGGAAACTCGGCCTGTAATCGGCGTGTGATCGGCGAGAACTATAGGGCTGGCTGGCTCACTGTTAAGTGAATTATACCTACATCAAATCGAAATTAACTCGCTCATAGTGAACCCTTGATAGGATATCAAGGTAGTTCCAGACTAGAAAGAAGACTTTATATTGCTTGTAAGTTTGTCAAACTTTTGTATATACAAATCATTATTCGTAATAACTATTTGTAATAACTGTTAATGTAAATTGTATTGTTGTTTGTATATTTAGGCGTGTGGAGAGTTTCTCAAAAATTCAGATTACGTAAGAATACCAACTACACTGGCGTTTACATACTCATATATATTGTTGATTCTTAGACTAGAGAATCTTCTACAACTTTAGAGAATAGGCGGGAGTTTCGCAATACATATTTAACGATATTAAAATAAATGTATAATAAGAAATCCGTCACACAATTAATTAATTTAGTTGTTAGCTGAATCAATTAAATACAGGCCTACTGTCACAGTGAGCCAAGTTTGTTTTTCTGTAGTGTTATCTCATAAATCACAAAATTATTCAAATCTATATTGTTGTAAGTTATATTTTAATATAGACGATTGTGCTGTTTGCTAGAGAGTTTTGGTCTGACGTAGTAATGACGTATGATGACTCGAAATTTCATGAATATCTAGAATATTGTTCAATAATATAAGAGGATAAGTTACGGAAGTAGGCTATTTTTGATATGTATTCTAGTGAGGCTAGAATCGCAGGATTGTAGATTCTTGAAACAGTGTGATCGTTCGACGTTGTTTGTATTGTGAGTTGTAAAGTTAAATCTATACTGTGGAGTTTAGATTCGGTGGTGTTTATATAATGTTGAGTAAAATATATAAACCGCGTTCCATTCATCACGTGAAATGGACATGGCATTATATTTTATCGAATAATCAGAAAGAACCCACCTGAAGATAGAAACCGTTACAACTGCTGTATACAATTAATAATATACGTACAGATACAATACAAGTATCATATCAAACTTAAAATCCAAGAGAAATTGAGCATGGTGAACAGTTTTCCCCTACATTTGATGATTTTTACTTCATTTTAAACAATAACAAATAGTTCTTCGAATAATATGTAAATTAATTTACTTAATTTTCTATGGCCCGGTGGATAAGTCACTCGGCTCGCAATCCGAGTGTCGCGGGTTCGTCTCCTTGTCGCACCAAACATGCCCTCTTGGGCGTGGGGCTAGCAACTCCACCCCTATAACAATCTGCTACAGAAACTGCAAC